TTTATTTTTTTGGTGTTAAACTCTTCCAATATTTCACATACTGTATCCATATTGTTTTGAGCTATCATTGTCTTTTGTTCTTGACAATACCGATATTCTTAGGCCTCTACCAGTACTAGTATCAATTACAATGTTCTATTTTACGTATTCATATCTATGAGCTTTGAAACTTAAAATTCCTTGTTCCTTTTCAATCCAGGAAATTGTGTGAGCCTTTTTGTTCTTCTATATGCTTTATAAACACAACTTTGGGTGGTTTTACACTCTTATTTGAATGAAATTATTTTCTCTACCCTTATTACATTTGGCTCCACTGATATTCCTTAACTACCTTCTAGCAGGGCATTAAATGCTCGTAGTCATTTATTTTCTTACTTACAGTGGCATTGCCATAATTTTAGAGAAACCCAGAAGGAAGAATAGTCAAGTCTAACAACTAACCATATGTGTCTAATGGATCAATTAACATCTCCAACTATAACTAAGCACATTTATGAAGATGAATGCAGAGAATTATTGCATGAACTTATACATTAAGTTCTTTGCCTACTTTTTGTACATTCATTATATTTGAATTTCACTGGCTGTAAATCTACTATTAGAGAGAGTTCTTAATAATAATTATTCATTCTTGAACATATTCTATTTATCCATATTTTCTATACTTGAAGTTGAAATAGAGGACTCAAGCTTAGAGAGTTTAAGAGGGTTGTATCATTATATGGAGGAGTGATTGAGACATAAAGACTAGATGCATACTCAAGTGGTTGGAACTGAAAATCTCATGCAAGCTTCTCTCCCTCACTCTCTCATAATATTTGGTGACATCTTTCCTAACTTATCTATTTTTATTTACACGTTATTTGTTAAAATTTTATTAAACCCGATCCACCCCCTCTTGGGCACTTTTACATGCCCCTATTTTAAAATTTAAAATAAAATATTACTTTCTTTTGGGAAATGACTAGTGTGTTTTTTTTTTAAATGACTAGGAGGGAATAGCAAATTAAAAGCTTTTTTATGCACTTTTTTTTATCAATGAAATCGAACAACTAAAAATAATAATTACTTTATCTTGGGAAACAACTAGGACATAATAGAAAAATACAAGCTGCTCTGTGCAAAAAAATTTTATCAATGAAATCCAATAACTAGGAATTTCAATTTTTGACCCTTTTTAGCTTTAGGTCTAGTCCGTTTGGTTTAAATTGAGCAATCCACCGTTTGGTTTAAATTGAGCAATCCAAACTATGTTCAATGGGCAGTAGGGCCTAATTCACCAATCCTCTCTCTCTCTCTCTCTATTATACCTACGTACGTATGTATGTATGTATGTATGTATGTGTATTTGTGTGTAAAGGGAAAAACTTATATACTTAACCTTATTTACTTAAGATATTTGTTTTTAATTAAATTAAGATATGTATATCATTTATAGATTATTTTTTCTATACTAAATTCTTCTTATTAATATTATTAACACATTAAAGTTCATTTATTTTGATTTGATTGGATACGAGTATATTAAGTATATAATGGTATATACCTAAGTCTCGCCCATATATATATATATATATATATTCATTAATTTTTGTTGAAATAAAATATGGGAGAATGACAAGAAAAATACTTTTAGAATATGCAAATGACAATTACATACTGCAAAATGTGATAATTGTAACTTAGTCCTTAGAGACTTGTCTGTTAATTAGTTTTAATGTGAAAAAGACTTATTTACTCTTTTGCAATCTCTTTGTACAAAACAACTTGTAATTTATTATTTTGTCCTAATCATTTCTAAAAAAAAAAAAACTAGCTGTTTCTTCCGAGAACGTAGTAATTGTCACATTTAAAACGTAGTAATGTATTTTATAAATGACGTTATCTATCCGCAACATTTAAAATATTTTGTGCACATAAATATGTAAAAAAAATTTCACATTTAATTAGATCCAAGATTCATCCTTAGCACACCCAGTGTCAATGTGGCCCAATGGAGAGCCTAACTGAATAGCATAAGAGAATGTTTTAGGTCAGATTAGATGCTTATGGGTCAGTTAATTATCAAGGGAAGCCTCATCTAAGGAATTTATATGAGATGAATATGGTAATAAAAGTAGTTTTTAGGAAGAATTTCATTAAAGGACCAATAATATTGACAGGAGATTAACGAGTAATATTACGCATTTGACAAGTCAAATACATTACTTAAAAGGTAACTTGACAAAAAATAATTTAGTACATGTTAGATGTTTAACAAGTGACGTCATAGACTTATCAAGCAATGATAAAGAAATAACAACTTACATTATGCGTAATTTAAGTAATATATTTATTACAAGTTAGATATTGAACAAGTAACAAAATAGACTGAATAAGTAAAGATAAGGAATTAACAAATAATATTAATTGTTGAACATCTAACATGTAATAAACCATTACTTGTCAATTTACTTTTGAAATCATGTAATTGACTTGTTAGATGAGCAATATTACATGTTAATTCCCTATTGTTACTTCTTGAATTCATTACGTGTCTTATTCAATTTAACTGAATAAGGATATTTTGATCATTTTGCTTTTCAATTTAATTTCATTTCAAACCTAAGATCTTGCGGTGATACTTCATGATGTTTTAGGTTTGATTTGTAAATAAATCCTATCAATGATCCTTTGACTAAATTCTCCCTGGTTTTTAATTTATGTGAGGAAGTTGGGTTACTTTCCTAGGATCACTACTGAAATGATTAGCATAAGAGAATGTTTAAATCTTTGCTGAAAATACAAGATAGTTCAATCCATGCTTTCAGAGTCTCAAAAGATATTAAAAAAAAAAATTATGCAAGATTGAAGGGTGTTTGACGATCGTGTGTTCAGGAAAGCAAATGATTGTGCAGACTGACTGACTTACATTTGATGTGCATATTTCAAACCATTAGTCAAAGTGCAATTGTATCAAAGTTTATAATAACCATCATGGGCTATGACCTTAATCATGGTCTCATATCCTATATTTCAAACTATAATTGTTGGTTTCTTTTTTCAGAAGAAATATATTTTAACATCTTGTCTTGACTAAATTATATACAATTATGATTTTAATCACAAATTTTTTAGTAATTTATCAACACTAAATGTTACTTTCGTTATATCATAAATTTATCAAAAATTAAATTCATTCTAATTTTTATAAATTTTCTTTTTCAATAAAAAATATTATCCAGAATGTAACTAAACTTTTTTTATCTTATTCTTAAATCTATTTTTATATTTTTTTACAATTAAAATGACCTTTCAATACCTTAATGTTAACAAGTTTTTGCTAGTAAATTAACACACGTATTTGTATAATGACAAGTTAAATTAAGATTTTAACAAATTCACTTCATATTGTAACAAAACAACAAAATTGAATATTTAAAAGATTTTATTAATAAATTCCACTAGTAAGCTAATCAAGTGTATGTTATATTTAAGATTTTGTATTATGGAATCAAACAACATCATTGGCTTATTGGGTATTAAATTTTTAGTGAAGCAAGGGATTAGGAATTCAAGCTCCCCTAGGCCATCTGGAAGATTTATCCGCTGGTGTGGCCTATACCAAAGCTCCGGTAGTGGTCCAGACGTCCAGTGGCTAGAGCTTTGGTAGCCATTATGGTGGTCGTTACGGAGGCCTGTACAGGCAGCCAACAATGGGGCTTTGATGAGGTGAATTTTTTTTTTAACAAAAAAATGAAGGGTATAATAGTTATTTCTCATCAAAATATATTTTCAATTCAGTCCCATAGTCATGCAGTGTATTGTTATAGTCATGTTGCATCAAAATATATTTTCAATTCAGTCCAATAGTCATGCTTTTAGATCCTATTAAGCCTGATTCGAAATTAATACCCTACAACTGAAATTCTCCCAAATTTTATCGGAGTTCTCAAGAACCATTAGATAGGAGTGCGAATGTTCTTAGTAGAATGGAATTAATTCAACCATTTTAATTTCGTCACAGCATCATCGTCTAAAGAAAATCAAAATGTACTCTCACTTGTTTTGCAGTTGATAGGCGAGACACTGAATGACCCCAAAAAATCAACCAACCCTGTCAAGGAATAGACTCCTAATTGAATTCTTGAAATATGATCAATGAGACTTAATTAACAGCAAACTTAATCTCAATTAATGACAAAGATAAAAATGATCCGGTTTTGAACATTTAATGGTAAGAATGTATCAAAGTAGAGTTCAAAATACCAGATGCACTGAGTGTAGTTTAAGGGGGAGGAACCCAATATTGGGTATTTGAAATGCACCGGTTTTACTTGTGTGACTTATCTATATATTTTGATGGTATTGAAAGATAATGGTTAAGAGATTTGAAAGAGTTAGAACAGATTAGATAATCGAAACTGAAAGCAATTAAGGCCGAAAACAATTGAAAATCCATCTATGCACATCTACAAGTTTATTGATTCACTTGTGAATAGATAAACCTTTATTTATTTTGGACTTCCACTCTTCTTTTTTCTCCTCTTGGAGCCCTCATTATCACTTCCCCATTTAATTAGGTGTTTGAAATTCTAAAGAAAATTGCAATAAAATGTTTGCTCCAAATTCATAAAATGTTATGCATCCAAATAATGGATTTGTTTTAAAACCAAATTTAAATCCAAATCCAACTAATTTAATCATACATGTAAAAGTGCTAGAACTAGTCCTAATGGGATCGACTAATTAGTTTGCAAACTGACTAAGCAAGGAGGCGAAATCTAAGTGAATCCAAGTTAAAAGGTTGAAGGTACAGATCTTCCAGTGTTTGATTGAATTAAGTGATTGGTTAATGATGTTATGTCTAATAATGTTACAAAACTCTTGCTGTTAAATTGGTTTTTCTGCGTACATCAGAAACAAATAATGAAAACAAAAGGGGAGAATTATTACTATGAAGTTCTGTGAAAGCAACGAAAATATATATAATAAGGCCGCACAAAATGTCAAAATATTCCTGCAATCCCAAAGTCCTTTGATTGATATATATTTCTTAGTTCCAAAAGACAATAGTTAATACTAAAAGAGAGAATTGTGAGGGGAAAACCAAAGAAATAAAAAAAAAATAAAGGAAAGCTAAAAGAGATCGAGAATGTCTATGCAGGTGGTAGAATCTCAGGTTTTCCAAGGTATCAAGTAATAAAAAAAAAAAAACAGAGCGAGAGAAAGATCGAGAATATGGAAATGGAAGAAGTATCTTGAAGTGTTCAATGAACCTTGACTTAATTGGGTGAAACCAATATTTTGGTTTTTTGAATGGGACATCAGAGATAAGAGACAACAATATAAGTGGAAAACCAGCAATGGCACATCAGCTTGTCGATTAATTTATCTTTATAATACTCAAGTGCAATCTGTCACTCCATTCATCCCTACATAAAAGATGTCTTTAAATCCAATATACTAATAAAAGTTTGGTATTTAGTTCAAAACACACAAAATTACAATAATTTTTTAATTTTATCCTTAATAATATGACAGTTAATATCATGATGGTAGGTAACGCTCACGATTAGTAATAAAATAAACTTATACAAAGAATACTCTCTGTGTTAAAAAATATAAGACATTTTTAACCGAATCTCATCCTCCAATAAAGTAATTACCTACTTTCAAACTAACTCTATCATTTTATATTTACCACCATTAAACACCTTACAATAAATATAAAGTCATTCATCAATAGAAGCACTTTTAAAAAAAATACAATGATTACACTTCAAAAGACTAAAAATGCCTTACATTTTAAAAAATCCAACTCGTTAAAAAATACCTTACATTTTTTAACGAAAGGAATACAATTTTTATAGAGACAAAAAGAAAGAGTATATGTTAATTAATACCTCTTTTTGTTTTGGAAAACATAAGTCAATTAATACCAACAAGTATATAGGAACAATGAAATCCTCATCACTTCGTCAAAAATTTTATATACAAGAAATTTTATTTACATGAAATTTTAAGGCAGGTCTTAGTGAACTATAATTGGTTTAATTAAATCCCAAAATATTGAAATAATAATAGTTAAGTTCGACAATTTGTTTGAAAAATAAGTCAAAGATATCAATCCAAACAATTAAAAATTTATGAATTTCTATTACAAATAAGCATTTAAATATCAAAGAGTACCAGTAACATAAATTTTTATTTATAACTATTTAAACTGATATTTACAATTTATTTTTAAAAAATTTTGGAAAACTAACTGCCATTAACTTAATCTTTTGGGATTTAACCGCCATTCTCCCTTTTTATTAAGTATTTTAATCTGATGGTATGTGAGAGCAATAAACATTTGAGTGGTTTTTAAAAAATTTAGAGGCCAAAAGGAAATAAAAATACATTAACAATTTAAATGTATGTGCAAGATAAACTTGCAATTAAAATTTAAGTCAAATAAATCTAACAAATAAAAATTTAGACTTGAAACAAAGCTTAGGATGAAACTCAAATAAAGAGCATATCATCAACTAATAGCCGTTGGTTCTAATGAATGGACAATCCAGCAGTACTGATAGGAAGAATATATAGACACACACACACACACACACACAATATGTGATCAACATAATCCCATATTGATGGTTAGAGTTAAGCTATAATGGGTTTGTTGATCGAATCATTTTACAAAATAAAATGAATTTTCAAAAATAAAAAATTAATGTGACTCAAGTTTTAAAACCTAAAATTTGTAGCATTATTTAAGCTTATGAATCCAATATTTGTAACAGATATTACATTTAAATTTAAAACAACTTTGAGATTTTTTTTTTTTTCTCCCCCGTCTCCCTCTTATTCTAGCAAAGCATGCAAAGGTGAATTTTCTTCATCACATTAAAATTTATAAATACAAAGTCCAGGAAAACAAAAGTAGCAAGACCTCGTCGTATTCACGACCACAGAATCCAAACTACAAATTATACAAAACTTTTCATCCCTAGCCTAACAAGGTATCTGTATGTTGAAGGGCATTCTCTGAACCATCATTCACTTGCTTATTATATGAAACCCTATGAAATTGTTCAGAACAGTTGAGAATGCCCAAGTTTCAAAGCCTAGTTTTATAGTTCTGTTTTTTCTAATTAAAAAATAAAAAAAGTTTAGATAAGTTAGATACCAAGAACTCACCAAAATCAAGGCATGCTTCCACATTCAAAAAGTGCCAAGTGCTAATGCACGTTAGTACAAAATTGCAATCCAGATTCTTTTCACAGTTTTTTGGGAAGACAAAAAGAAGTGGATCAACAGACTTACCTACAAGCTGCATGCCTATCCCATCTAGTTGTTACCATAAACAGTATCTCAAATCAAGCCTGAAATTGAATGAGAGTTCAACATAATACTTAAACCATAATATAAGGTTAAGGATTATTTTTGTCATTGTATTGTATATGAAAGGCTATAAATGCTTTTAAACTCAACTATAGATTAATTATATCCCTCAACTTTAAAGATTTCCTTTCCCATCACTTTACCATTTTCTCACTGTTAGTTGACCGCTAGTGGACCCCACATTATTTTTTAATATTATTTTATTATAAAATACCTGAATTGGGGGGCAAAAAATAACCTTTAACCTGATAAAAAAATCTTTAAAAAAATAATGAGACCTATTGATGATTAACAGACGTTGAGTGTTTTTAACATCAAGATGATGATGGAGGGAATCTTTAAAATTGAGAAATAAAATTGATTCATAATTGAGTTTAGAGACATTTGTGACATTTCATGTACAATTCAGGAACAAAAATAAAATTTAATCCATGAATATAATGACATAACATTGTCCAGCCTGAATGGAGGCAACTGAAAATAGTAGAAGAAAGACCTTAGGTTTCTTCAGAAGTGGTAAGGAAATGATGAACTCTGGTTACATCAACAGCATGGAAAGTTGATAATATTATTACTAAGGATTACACGCAAATGGAAATCAAAGAAGAAATAAGCTGGAGCATTTCATACATAATATACAAAATTTAAAGTAAGAATATTGTAATAATTGTCAACTCATGGAAATGACTTCAAAAATTCAGCAAACAACCTAGAAGTGGACTCTTCACAACTATTACCAAGGGTATATATATCAATAACTAGGGTGCTTTTAGAATTAGGACAATTTTTCTGGGTAAGATTCAGCAACTGTGAAGAGAGTAAAGAGTGTAGAATTTCATTGCCCCAAGATTGGTCATGAAAAAACCAATTATTTTCATGGCTTCCTTTTGGTGTGACAATGTGGGATTCGTTAGATATCCAGAAGGATTGGAGAGTTTTACTGTCTTATGCAAAGGCAAGCTCGCGTTGTTGTACGTCACTGTAGTACCTTTATTAAGGAAAATTTCTTATCCTCATCTTTATATTTACCTCTTCCTTCTCTACACAGAAGTACTACAACAGAGAAAAAGAAGTCCCATTACTTATACAACAAAGAAATAGGGGGGGCAAGAAGGAAATCGTTAAGTGCAGTTTGAAAGTTCACATAATTAAACATTGATAGGTCAAAGACTGCAAGTTGAGATCTTCAAATTTCCTTTACTGGAAAATTCTTATGTACATCACTAGTAGCCTCATCACTGTGCTGGCTGCTGCTCAGCTAGAAAGGATACTATGATAACGCTATTAATGTCAAATTACTGGGCATACTGGCAAATGCAATCATCCGTAATCAAAAATTGAATATGTGAGTGAGTGGGTGAGTGTGTGTGTGTCTGTGTCTGTGTCTGTGTGTGCGTGAGAGAGAGAGAGAGAGAGAGAGAGCCAGGGGGGGACAGAGAAGGTCTTGTGATATCATGAAGAGAAAACAAACTTCAGCATATTGTGTAAAATTAAGTCCTTGATATCTCCCCTCATACCAGGTGGACTTGCAAGGAATGCTCCAAATTTGGAAGTCCTATGCGTAGCACAAGCCAGTACTAACTAAAGGAACGACAGGTACTAGTTATAAGAAAATTGAAACTTTTCTACGTTTCACAATGAATACTTCAAACCATTTGGCAATCCCTAATTAATTCCAGCTTAAAAATTACAAAATCTCATTTCCATAAACCGAGCAACTCCAAATTTCATAAAATATATATTCTTTTACCATAGGAAAAACAGTCCAACAGCAGCATTGTTATGATATCTCACAGACATGTAGTTAAAGGGGATACCAGATGGCTCCCAACTGATAACTTTAGGTTGGCTAAAAGCATAAACTGTGGCAAGAAAAAGTGTTTCATGACCAACAACTATTTTGGCAGGTATCACTTTAAGAACTGGAGGCATCTAGTTCTCCACAGGAAAATACCTAATTTTCAGTACCAGAGAGTATAACACAGCCAAATTCAGATACCTTGTAACACACAGGAAGTATTCTGCCTTTCATGGATGAAAGTTCACAATTCTTCTACCCCCCTGTCTATGTGGTATAACTAATCACTTCATTTCCCCCTTTTCTTTTCCTCGAAAAGAAAAAAATAAAAGTAAGAATTTGGTGGACAAGAAATCTTTCGATCACATCATGGCAAACAACCAAAGTAAATCAAAATAAATTGCCGACAAAAAAGTAACAATTTGACTCCTCCACAGCCTGATTTAAAACATCCATAATAAGCATATACAAATTGTTTGGACAAAAATATCAATATGTTTTTGAACTGCAAATGAGCAGACAATTAATAGATCAAATCCACAATGTGCATACCTTGGTAGAATTTATGGAGCAACGTCATCAAATAGAACTTTATAGAACCGTTTTCTTTCTTCCGGGTTAAGCAAACCTCCCAATTTATCTTCCCTATCATCTGAGTCAGAAATTTCAGCGCTTCTATCCTTTCTTTTATCTACACTAGCCAAAGGAAGACCATTCTTTCTCCTCTTCTCCAAATTCACTAAGCGATGCCTCTGGTTGTATTCATGAAGTCCCTCCTGCATCAGTTCCCCAAATTTATCCTTCACAACTACCAGAGGATCTTTATGAATGAGATCAGAGCCATTATATCCCTCTCGAAGCAGAACTGTATAAATTTGATACTTATTTGAAACGTAAAAAATCCCAGGATGCTTCAGTAATAAAATGTTCAACTTATCTGGTAATACAAACTCCCTCTTAAAGTGACTCAGTTTCACAATTGAGGCCTTTTTCCAGAGAGTCAATGACAACAATTCATGCAGCAGAGCTATTGCCCTCTTCTCCATCTCCTGTGATCCCTCCACCAAACCTTTTGGGTCCATGTAAGGTGAAATATAAGGGCTTGAATTAAATTCATTAAATCTTTCCCAAGATTTTACCCATGATGAAGGTAATGAGCAAGTAAAACTTGGGCGGGTTCCCTGTTCCTGAGCAGATGCTTCCACTGTAGAAATAGCCAAATCAGGGTTCCAAGATACCAGTTCTATTTCCATTGCATTTCGTCTTCCACTATAATTAACAATCCGAAACATATGTGGATACTTTGGAATAATTCTGATTAAATAATCATCTGGAAAACCAAAATTCCTCTTCAGCTCATTAATTTTAACAACATTAAGTCTCTTATTTACACTCATCATCAACAGCTTCCCTAACCTCCTAACAAATACTGGCTCCTGCATGTCTTTAACTGATTCTTCCTCTTCAACCAAATGCATCATCCTCTTTGTCAGTCGGCAGTGATATTCGTCACCATGGAGATGAAGCTCAAAACAGCACGGATATTTTTTAATCCAATTGAGAGCTTTACCTTGAAGATCAAGGTTCTTAAATTTCTTCTGAAGAACTTTCACAGGTATTTCCTGATTATGATATCGAAGAATAATGTTCTTGATTTGGTTATTAACAATCCAGCGGCGATTGCGAGATAGAACTGATTCAAGATCTGGATCCTTCTTCATAGACCAGAGGGAGAAGTTCCGCACAATGCATTGTAGAGATGGTGTAGCATAAAATCTGCGGTTACTATTATTTATTCTATGCAGAAACATCCCAGCCTCCAATTACTCAGCGTTCTCCTTCACATGTAACACTCAATAGAAAGTTAATCCTGGCATGTTCCAAACAAAAAGACAAAAGATTCATTCTTTCTTCATGCACAAGTTTGGAGAACAAGTCTAGAACATCTTAAAATATCACAAAATGAACTAGAAAATATTATAACATAGCCAATTCATCTGATGAGATAAAGAAGCACAATGGCACGATTGAATAAGGAACTTAACCTCTCCTTGCCACTGCCCCAATGAGAGAAAGAACAAAAGAGATGAGGTTTAAAATCTGAATACGCTGTACTCCACAGGCGGACCTACATTATACTTAGTGGGGGCAATATTCAAATGATGACGCGACCAGATGCAAAATAAAATTAAACGAAAAATTAGAACAAAGCAAGAATAACCACGCAGGGAACAGACGATGTAGGGAACAAATTCAAAACCCGACTGAACAAATCAATCTCAACTGATTTTAGGAAAGCGCTAGAGTTCAAACCTTCTTCACCACTTGATTGAGAACAACCACGCAGGGCTGACAACGGTGGACGGCGTCTGACGGAGTGTGGAATTCTTGCTTTGTCCACGAAGAAAAATGGATTCGCTACTTCTTACGGATTCGGTTTCGGTGCTCACTGGGGCTCGGCACCGAAACACTGCCGTTGCTGTGTTCATTTTTATCTTTTTTAAATCACAAAGTTATTATTATATTATAATAATAAATAAATATTAAACCGGTTAAAATTTGACATTCAGATATAAATTTTAATCTCAACAATTTAAAATTATATTAAAAAATTTAAAAATATAATTTAAAATATTTAAAATGAAAGTTAAATCTAATAAAATAAATTAATTTTTTATAATGAAATAAATTAATATTTAAATTTTTATTAAAAAAATATCTATATTTAATATTTAACTGTGCCTTAAATTACATTACCTATTGGATAATTATATAAAATTAATAAAATAAAAAAATACTTTATATTATTAGTTATAATTTTAATTTTTTAGTATAGCTTTGAATTATTCAGATCAAAATTTATATTTAAATTGTTGGGTGGCAATTTAATGAATTAAATTTATTTATTTATTAAATATTAAAATAATAATTTTATAATATTTTTATTTATTGTTATAATAATAATATTGTAGATTAAAAGAATGAACACCGCAACATGAGCGTTCTGGTGCTGAGCACCGAAAAACGAATCCACTTCTTCCTACCCGAATGTGTTTCGTCGGGGTTATAATTAATTGCGCAAATCGAAAACAAGAACCACCGGTAAACTTTAATTGCCCTGTAAGGCCAAAAAATTTTAAAATTAATCTAAAAGACTAAAGGATCTATATATAATTAAAATTAATTGTGATTAGACAAAACTATACCTCATATATATATATATTAAAAACAATAAATTCCTTCATTAATAAGTTTTCATTTGAGAAAATATAAATTTTATTTTCATTTTAATAATAATTAATTTTTTTTATTAATAACTTCAAAAAGTAACTTATGGTGGACAGGAACTGTTGCGATCTAATGAATAAATCTATATTAAAAAAATTATTTATATTTTAACAATAATCAATAGCTTTATTAGCAATTCCAAAAAATTTGCATGTTGATGGAGATGAATAGTTATAATTTTAATTTTTCAGTATAGCTTTAAACTTTTTGAACTAAAATTTATATCTAAATTGTTCAGGTCAAAATTTAATGAGTTAAATTTATTTATTTATTAAATATTAAAATAATATTTTTATTTATTACTAGAATAATAATTTTGTAATTTAAAAAAATGAGCACTGCAATATCAGCATTTTGGTGATGAAGACCAATTGTGTTTTGTTGAGGTTATAATTAATTGTGAAAATCACAAACAAGAACCATCGGTAAACTTTAATTGCTCTATAAGACTAAACAATTTTAAAATTACTCTAAAAGACTAAAGGGTCTATATATAATTAAAATTGGTTGTGATTAGACAAAACCATCCCTCATATGTGTGTGTGTGTGTGTGTGTGTATTATAAACAATAAATTCCTTCATTAATAAGTCCTCATTTGAGAAAATATTAATCTCATTTTCATTTTAACAACAATTTATTTCCTCATTAATAACTTTGGAAAGTAACTTGTGGTGGAGAGAAACTGTTGTGATCTAATGAATAAGTCCATATTAAAAAAGAAGTATCATTTTTGTTTTAACAATAATCAATTGCTTTATTAATAACTCCAAAAAATTCACATGTTGATGGAGAGGAATAAGTGTTATTGTAACATCATAGATTTCAATTATGGAAATTTTTAGTATTTAAGAGGGCATTTTGGTCAAATTAGGTGAATTACTAATTAATGATGTTTTTAGGAAGCTAATAAAGTTTTTAGATCATTAAACAATCTTAGAAGAGGTCTAGGTAGGAGTTCAAGTAGGCCATGGCACGGAGAGAGATTAAGAACGTGTGTGGTACTCTCTGTGCCATGCACAATGATAGATGCACCATACCCTACGACGCATGTACAAAATTTTCACTTATCAGTTTCACAAATCAAACCAAAAATTAGATGTGGGTAAGAGTAAACAAGAGAAAGTGACAAATGGCGACCTGGGGCTACTAGGACTCAACTTTTGGAGCAATTTGGAAGCATTTAGAGCAAGATTTATCTTTAGGTAAGTTTCCTACATCTCTTCCTCTCCCTCTATATGAATCTTCTGGGGATTAGAGTATTATGGGGTTGTGATTTCATTTTTTTTTAGTAATAACTAAACCCATTGGCTTAGTCAAGATGGTATTTATCCCTCACATTAATTGAGAGATATTATTGAGCCCCTGGATGAGTAAGACTAAGAAAATGTATAGTCATACTATCATGAAAAGAGTTTTTCCATTACACAGTCAGTCCACTTAGAGATCGAAAAAGTAATGGTTCAATAAAGGAGAATGACAATTTCATGTCTTATACTTGACCAAAATATCACGTGATAAAAGGGATGTGATACAGTTATATGATATATTACATTAGATTATCGATCAATATACGAATTAGGTAGTTATAATGTCTTGCTAGAAATCACTTATGACTTCTGAGCTAGTAGCATTACTAGCATACTGCCAACTTCATATAAGCCTAAAAGGTCACACACAAGAACAATCCAACTTGAGCTATAATATCCAAATTCATTGAATCTGAAATGTGTCTAGATTCAATGAATAGAATGCTTTATCTAAGGTGAATGAATTATATATATGTATATATGTATTTGAATATTTATCTGATAAATATTTATGTGTGTGTGTGTGGGGGTGTAACATCCTGAATTTTAATCCCAAGAACTAGTTGCTAATTAGGAATAAATTAGTAATTAGTGAATTAATTATGATTTGGGTGTTGAGTTAATGTTTTTGTATTATTTGTGTGTTATATTGGCAGGACTAAAGGATAAAGAGACAATTCAAGGTATAATGCACGAGCATAAGTGAGATTGAACTCATTATGCCACACATCGCGGTGGAAGTTGCGTGCGCCGTAACGCATCATCTAGGGGTAACTTAAAGCTAATGTGAATGCTCATGAAATTAGAAGAGAAAAGGCTGGAAACACATCTAGAGGGGTGGAGGAGTTCAGCTTTGCTAGGGCAAGCCATATCTTAAGGTTTGGAATTTGCTTCGATTAATAACTTGTTGGGTAAGTATTGCACAATTCCAAGCTTCAATTCCACCCTTTTTTCATTAAATTTCATCAGTTGAGAAATCAAATCGTGAGATTTTAAGGTGTTGTAATCTAAAAGAAAGGGTTAAATTGGGTTATTGAATACAAAACTAAGATTTTGTAACTATTATGGAGTTGAATGGTTGAGTTTTTAGAGTTTAGGCTCAAAATGGTCTAAAAGTTAGGTTGAAACTGAGAAATTAGGTAAATGAATAAGTTAGGAAGTTGTTATGATTGTTTGAATAGCCTATAGGGTAAATGATTATAAATAATGGATAAGTAAATTAAACAGGGTTCAATTGAACTGTTTTATGTGTTAAGGGATTTAGAGGTTGAGAATTTATTGAGGGGCACTGTGTTATATAGATTGAGCACCTATAGCATTACTTGTGAGAATTTGTGCCCTTAAGAGCTCAATGTGGTTGGTAGAAAGGGTTAAAGGTAACTAGAATAACTTTTTTACTTGTTTATTTGTGAAATTGTTTGTAAGTATTTTAATATAATAATGTGCATTGTGTTGTGAATTGATAGAGTAACAACACTGTGAAAGTATATGCATGCGAATGTGTGAATATTAATTGAAATGAATTTGAAGTGGCACATGCATTAACATGCATCGCATCCGCAAGAATATCTTAGATTATAGTCCAGGAAGTCCTGATGATCCAGAGTATAACGCTTGACTTCGTTAGGATAGACCTAGAAGAAGAATCTTAATGATCTAGAGCATAGAGTTTGACTTCGCCATGACGAACCTAGGATATTGAATGATCCATTAGATTATCCTAAACTAAGGTAGAGAGTTGTGGTCCTACTCTGTATAAGGCAAGAAAGTCCTAATGATCCGTAGCATAGAGTTTAACTCTGCCATGATAGACTTAAGAGACCACCCATATGCGAAGAGGATTACCTAGCTTGAGCAGTAATATGGTAGGCCCTATTTCTTATGATTAGAAGTCCTGGTCTGAGCATAAAGATTACTCCGCTAGGTGAAACCAAGAATGCATCGCATAAGCATAACGAGTTTGATGAGAATGAATTCATGTATATGCATATGATAATATTTTTATTGATACATATGCTACTTTATCGCTTGTTTATGATTTTGCTTACTAACCAATAATTGGGGTTATTTCCAAGTTACTGGAACATATGTCTCATTTTGTTACTTTTAAACACAGTGAAAAGAGTGTGAGAAGGCCAAGAAAGGAAGCAAGGAAAGAGTAACATCAGTCAGTAGTGGTATGACTACCATTGAATGAAATGAATGTATAAATTTATTTATAGAGTTTGAGTTGACAACTAGAATGTATAAGTGATTGTGTGTTGAATTGTATCGTGAATCTTGCTTATATATATATACACACACACACACACACACACACACACACATATATATATATATATGGTGCTGCATTATGCCGAGGTGCTCCAATAGAGGGTACGTAGGTAGGCTTAAATGTGAAACAAGCAAGTATATGATGATGTGTAACTTGTTTTACTTGGGAATATGTGTGTTGAATGTGAATTGTGTAATATATGAGAACTTAACACAAATGGTGAGGTGGAACTTCATTTGAAAGAGTCGAATACATTTGTGATTCCTGATCATATGATGAGGCGAAGCCTTATATGTAAGAGTCAAAGGGTTGAAAGTGAAATAAGTCTATTTACTTATATGTATTGTATATGCATTCCCCATATAAGTCCAACATCATGTAATGTAGCATTGAGAGGCCAAATTGGGCTATTGATGTGATATTTGTAGTATGTAGTGTCAATCAAGTGTATGTGGTCCTTTTAGACTTAGTTCAAGGCCCGAAGTAGTCTAATGGGGTAAGGAATGAGAATTGAATACTTAGGGTGTAATTTTTAGAATAAAAAGTAGCTTTTTGCACTTGAGTGTCCAATTTTAGATCACACCATCAGACCAAGTCTAAACTTGTTCCATTAGTTATAATATGTTGTAAGTTTTATGTATGCGCTTGAATTACTTCAATCGGATATCAAATGTGAAAATGGTGCATGCTAAAAATCAATCATTTTTGCTGTCAAATGACAGCAGAAAATTCAGACAGGTGTGCCACGGCAATGACATAGTCAAAAACAAAGCATGTGGCTCTGTGCCACATGCCATGGCACATGTATTGCACACCGCGGCACACAGTCCTTTTTCAAAGTTGAGGAGTTGTGTCTTTTTTAGTCATTTAGCTGCATTTACGCTTTTGGTAGCCCGCTTATTTAAATGTATGTTTTAAGAAGTTGGGATTCCACGATTTGAAAATAAATAAAGGGTTATTATTATGATATTTCATTGTTCTTGCGTTATTGGTTGTGTGATTGAGGATGATAAAGCTCAATATGAGCTGGGATTTTACAATATATATATGAAATATAAAATTCAAAATATAACACACACACACACACATATGTATATATGTTTTTAATATATATATATATATATGATATATGATATATTACATGATATTATATTATATTATATTATATTATGTTATATTATATTATATTATTGTGTTAGTTTTAAATTTAATTTTATGTGATAAATTAAATTTAATGACTAACATGATATAAGAAGATATCATATCAATTCTATAATTTAAATTTATGAGATAAATTTAAATTAGACATGATATCATAGATTTAATTTATGAGATGAAATAAATTTAATTTCGTTGGCTATAAAAACTCCAATCTATATAATATAGATAAGAGACGAGTTTTTAGATAGAGTCTCTTGATGGCAAAACTTTAAGAACTATAAAAATACCCTAGAAATAAAAGGAGCGTCTAATTGACGAACAAAAGTTGGAAGCACTAGCATGCTATTCGTGTTAGAAAGCTGCTCATGTAGATACTGGTAAAGAGAGCCGATCTACATTGTCATCTTTTGAGGTTTGAAAAGCTAAATACTAGAAAATGTATTTCTTCTATCCACTTTAACTTCAACAAATTTGATTACTCTACAATCACAATTGGAATTTAAATTTTAATTTTTTATTGTGCCTCCCAATTCAACACTAATACCTTTCACAATCTACCTCCTCATGAAGATAAGAAGGTTGATTATAAAAGGACTAATTCTTTTTAAAACTATGAGAAGTATAAAGGAAAAAATTTCAACCAAGAACCTTCAAGCAATTAAGGGCTTGTTTGAAACTGTTTTTATTTTATTGCTATAAAAACTAATGTTTTTGTAAAGCATGTTCTGAAAATAAAAATAATAATGAAAAAAATGTTATTTTTCATTTTCTCTTATTTTCTAAAATAATGATCTCAAAACACCTAAAAGATATTTCTATTTTTCTACTTTTTAAAACAATATTTATTTATTTATTTTGGTTTTCCAAAACAATTTCTGAAAAATATGTTACAAATAGTTTCTCTTTTTATTTTTTGTTTAAGAAAATAAAAAACTATTCTTAGAATAGGTTGCCAAATAAGTCCTAAATTACATATAAAAATAATTTTGAATACAAATAACTAAAATACTCTTAATTTGAAAAATAGAAAATAGTGCAAGGAAAAAATTGGAGGGGACAAGGAAGATGGTAACAAAAGAAACAAACAAAAGAGCACATAATGATAAGAAAAGAACAAGCAAACAGGATGACAAAGAAGAAAGAGAAAAATACCAAGGTTTTAAAACCTAGACTAACAAGGATAGTTGAACCTTCACCCATTGAAGAAAGTGGATCAGTTCAACCAATTAACACATATTAGATGTTGGCCAGCCTGAAACTGGATGGTTTTTAAAAACTCAGAAAAGACCTAGAACCCAAAGCAAGTTTTTATGGATCAAAGTAGGTCACAAAGAAGGATAATATAGGCATTTTAAAAATTAAAAAACCCTTCTAAACCAAACGGACCTAGGACCTAATGCCCATGGACCCAATCTACTTCTTCTCAATCAGCCAATCTCACTTCTCTGTTCTTTCTTTGTCTTGCACGACAGGTTCTCATCGCATTCTCATCTCAGTTCTCAAATCTCAACCATTCAAGTTCTATTTCTATGGGTCTTCATCATCTTCACTCTTCAGCCACCTAACCATTTGAGTTCTATCTTTCACCGTTCAGTTCAGTGATATCAAACTCTCACCTTCTCAACCTGTAATAACCTAAAGTTTCAAGTAAAGTTAAAAATCTATAATGATGTATATTAATATATTTTTATTAATTTTAGAGCAAATTTATCAAGAGAGAGAGCTAGTCTAGTGGAAATTAAGTCCACACCTTACCAATCCGGTCCCAAGTTTGATTCTTAAAGGTTCAATCAAAATAAGGATTTTAGTTTCATATGCTAATTATTTGAGCTTTTAAAATTACCAATATATCCTCATGCCATCAAATATTTTTTTCTCTCCTCCTACTTGTTCAGACGCGTTCCACACCAGAAAGAGAGAGAAGCTTCTAGTCCTTCTCTTGCAATTCACGACTTCACCTTCCTCTCCGCCATTCTATCCTTACCGACGGTGATTGTGGGCACTTGTCGTTGCCTTGCAAAGATTGAATCCTCCACTGTCCTCCCCGCTTCTGTCTCATCTTCTCCATTCGCTATTCTACCTCCTCCCCTCATGGTTGTGTCATTGCTGGTGTGTGGGAGCTGACGCGTGAGAGCTGAATCACCAAGGCTGAGGTATTGCTCATGAGTCTTTCTGCTTCTTGGTCTTGTTTTGCTTGTTATGCTCTCTTTTTTTCGGTGCTTCATGCCCAAATTTCTTTCCCCTGTTCAGCCACAAGCTTCAGTTCCTCCTTCCCTTTTCTCCATTGTTCTTGCTTTAAAGTATGGAAGCTTCAAGTCCTCTTTCTTCTTGTGCTGTGTATGTGGGAGTTTATGTTTTACAATTGAAGTATTGATTTATTTCCTTTTTGCTGCTATGACTGTTTGAGTGGGAATAAGAAATTGATTCAAGTTGAAATTTTAATAGTAGAGCAGGATAGAAATTGGTTAATTTGATTTTCTGTGAGTTGAATCCATTTTTCTTCCCTTTTGACTGTGCGCATATTGTTGAGCTTGCTTTGCAAATGAGATTTTGATGTCCACATTTGTTATATAGCTGCTATACGGGTAGAAGGAAGAATTGGAAACATTAATTTAGCAATCTTTCGATATTTAGAGAGTTAGATAGCTCTTATGATTTAAACATATAGCCATGGCAAGAGAAAAAGGGTTTAGATGACATTTTTATTTGAAATTTATGTTGGAAGCTGTTGGAATGGATTTGAAGAAAAGATTGGATTGGAATTATGGATTTTAAAGAAAACCATGCTTGCAAGGTGTTCGATTAAATTTCTATTAGAAGAAATTGGCATATGACGATTAGATACATGTGACAATTTAATTATTGTTAGTTAGAAAATTTATGGAAGACAATTCTTTTTGATAGAAGTTGGAATTTTGATTAGTTCAAATATTGATTTAGGATAACCCTCGAAGTTGGACTTGAAGAAGAAAAAAGACGTGGTCTTGTGGATTAGACACTGTAAAATAAAGGATATTGGGTAAATGTTTAAAAAGGAAAATTGTGGATTTTAAGTGGCAAAAAATATATGATAGGTATGTCACCATTGATTAAATAATACTAGAAATCATTTATGCTTTGTAATGGAAGTTAAAGTTGAAATTTGCATTTTGTTTTCTTGTTTTTGTTTGGAGAGATAATTGAGTTAGTAATTTAAGAACCAAACCGCTATTTATATATTTTCCTTTAGGATGTTTGATGCAATGTTGAGAAAGATAAAAGTGAAGGTTTTTCTTTCATTTATTTCTCTGAATTGTTTTGAATTGGAGATTTTAGATGGTAAAGCATGTTTGAGGGAATAACAATGATATTATTTGAATGTTAGGAATTTAAGGACAAAGCATTGTCATTAAGAGAATAGATTGGAAGTAAATTATATACTTGAAAACTGTATAGGTAAGTGAATAACATTTCATTTAATTATTTATTATAATCTTTTATTAAAAATATTTTATTTTATGAATTATGTCAAATTTTAGAAATTTTGGAACAATGATTAAAGACAATTACATTATGATATGTGCATTTATTTTTCCTCAAGAAATATATTTGTAATATTGATGAAGGTATCTTTGTTTATTGAATTTTAAAATTTCTTAGTTACACAATTAATGCAAGTTTGTACATTCACTATGATGTATCAATTTGGCAAATTTTATATATTTGAAACAATTCAGGCGAGTTTAATATTGGGAATGGAAATTTTATTTCAAAAATAATTATTTCTCTCGCATGTTTGAAATGAGATTTTTAAGAGGACTTTATATAGAACACTACTGTTAATGACAGTTTCATTATCCCGTGATACGCTGTTGTTAATAACTAGCTAGTTTGTTTTGTGAGCATTGTCTTCACGTTTGTTATTCATGGGTTTCATACTCGTGTTTGTTTTTCATGGCTTTGAGCTGCATTTGGTTACTTACCTTCGTAGATTGTGTGTCCACGTTTGTTTCATAGCTTAGGTTGTGTTTGGTTACTTACCCTCGTAGATTGTGTGTTCATGTTTGTTTTCGTGACATAAACCGCGTTTGGTTATTTTACTTTTGTGGACTGTATGTCCACATTTGTTACTTCTTTTGTTAAGTCCTCAAAATTTTAAATTTTTACTTAACATTTGGTATTTGAAATTTCAATGCTTTCAGTTAGTAAATTTATTAGTTTGATTTACATGTAGATAATTTGTTTTCTTTAAAGCATGATAGAATAAAGCAATTTTTAGTTCACTCAATTTATGGCTATGAGTAAACTTTACAAATTTATTAAGTTTATTATATTGAATTATCATCTCTTCAATTAGTTTATTTAATTGTTTTGAATTTACTATTTTACTCTTTTAAATTTTATTATTTGGGGATGCTATTCACTGGAAAAAAATATTTTGGTCTCAGATTTACTAAGATGACGTTGGACCACCTGCCGATCACTGAGGGGCTTATGATTGTGCTAGGTGAATATTTTATCTTTGAAAACACCTTTTCCTTTAACAATTAAATGTTCAATTATGTGTTTTATTTTAAATTTATGTTTAGGTGCTCCACATTAACTATAGCTAGGGTCCTACTTTTATTTTTTTATGCTGACTAACTCTGGGTGGGGAGTGTATCTTTGAACTGTTGAATGTATATGATAATATTTTTTTATTTTAGAGATTTCAGGAGACCCTAATTACAGTGAAGATTCTATCAAAATTTCTAAAAACATATTAAAGCTTTCATTATAATGAATGTTATTGAGGGTGTCATGACTTCAATATAAAATTTAAGAATTGAAAAGTTTTCTTGATTTGAGACTTAAGGAATGCATGATACAATTTACATCTCATTACAATCACCCTCTATTTTGGGACGTGACACCGCCATTTAGGTTTTGTGTTCTCCCTTTGCCATCTTCATTATTCAACTTCAGCCTTCAACCATTCGGACTCTCACCTTCTTACTTCAAATGCTTCTTCATTCTTCATTTTCATTTTGCTTTCTTCATTTTGGTTCATGACTTCGCATTCTTGTTTGACTCTCGCGCAAGCATGCAACTATCAGAGATAGTTAGACAGTCTTGAGCTTTGCCTCCTCCTTCATCTTCTTCATCAATTGCTTTTTCTCTTAATCTTGGTGAGATTTTCTTTTTCCCTCATTTATCTCTCTGCCCAATTTAATCTAATGTTTGTGTTTGGATTAATCAAGTAGATTAATAAAGATCCGCCAATATCTTTGACAAGCAATGAAATTATAACTTGTTAGTTATCTTATAGTATTGGGTTTGGGGATTTTGAATTGTTTTTCTTGTAAACTTGTTGCATTGTATTAACAGCTTGGATGTTTTGCATAAGACTTTTGGTGTTTTGAATATATATATATATATAATAATTAAATTGTCAGTCTGACCACAAATCTGACTTGTTAAACCATGAGATTGTGATCCGCTAACATTTTTGATTTGATGTCTAGTCTAGGTTTTAAAACATTGAAAAATATAGAAAAAGAGGAAGAGAAAAATTTTCCAGCAAGAAGAGGAACATGAACAAGATACAAGGAAAGAAAAATGAAGATGAGGAGGGGGAAGGAAAGGAGATAACACATGTATGTTGTGTTACATATATTAAATTGATAAGTAAAAGTTCATGTTCTAATAATTATGTGTGCTTTCTTTTTAACATACTTTCATTTAGTATATCATGTTCTAACCAATGTTTTTAAAATTGGATCGAATATTAAATCAAAAAGTCAATAGTTCACAATTCACATGCTCCAATTGGGTTAGACCAATTGTCAAATTGATGACGTAATAATTAAATAAAAATAATATTAAATGTATATATAAAATAAATACAAGAAAAAAATCTATAGTATGTTAATAAAATGATATAACATAACTATAAATTAATAATAATATAAACTATAATTTTATAACTTATTAAATATAGGTAGATCTTAGTTAAATTAGATATGAGTAGACTCAAATGTATTTGTATTTGCATCTATAATTGTTAATATCTTTATAAAAAAATGGTCTCAAATCATATTTTATACATATGAATTGTTCAAAAATAAAGTTGGCTTTAGTATGATTTTTGAATGTTTCTAGTTTTTTTTAAATTTTTAATCTTTTTTAATATTATGTTTAAAACCATTTGGTTTTTTGAAAACTGTGTCAGTTCTTGGATCAACTCCAGTTTTTGGTTTAATAGTAGTTCAACTCCAATTCAATCTAGCTCAATCATAAAAATGGATTTTTAGTCCAAATTGAGCCATTAACAGCTCCAATCAACGATCCAACTATCCGATTCGATCTGATTTTTAAAATTATTAGTTCTAACAAGATTTATACAGGAGACTTGCATAAATTCAAGCATTGTTTTGTTTTTCTTTTTCTCCATGTTTAAAAAAAATAACAAGTAAACTTTAGTTTCATGTAAGAACATGTTGGATTTTTTTTTTTTACAAGTGTAAATGTGACTATTAGATACAACCAATAAACTTTATTCAAGTTTTCTTATGGAAACTATAATTATTGACAAGGACAAGTTGGTTTTTTACAAGTGTGTGTGTGAGAGTTACACATGTATTGAAAAATCTTTATCCAAGTGACACAAACAAATTACAAGTCAAACTTTAATTTTTTACAAGGACGCTATTTTTTTTTTATAGGTGTATGTGTGGTTTCTATATTCAATGAAAACCTTCACTAAAGTGGCTCAAAAAATTTGCAAGTCAAACTTCAAGTTTTTACAAGGACATGTTTGGTTTTTATCCAAGTTACACAAAATAATAACAGTTAAACTCCAATTTTTACAAGGGCATGTATGGTTTTTGATAGGTAAGTATGTATTTCACATAATTGGTGTGGTGATTTTCACATGATAATCCAGGAAAATTAACAAGAAAATGTTATCCGATTCATAATTAAATAGAAACAAAGTGTTTAAAAATAACATATTAATTTGGAAACATGACAATAAAATTTTTTTGAATTATAAAAATGCCATCAAAATGTCATAATTTCTCTGATATCTCTAGAAACTTTTGTGTAAATAAATCTTAAAGTAAAAACACTATCTTATTCTTATTGAAAATAATAAACTCCAATCACAACTTTTACTTAAAGAATAACAAAATTTGTTTTATAAATTGTAAAAGTTATAACAAGAAATCATGACTTGTTGAGTGTAGTTATTGAAAAATAAGTTCTCAAAATAAGAAGCATTAATCACAACTTTTGCTCAAGGAATAACAATTTTTGTTCTATAAATTACAAGAGTTAAATAAAAAATCATAACTTATCAATAAGGGTAAAATAATTTTTTTTCAATTTAATATTTATTAACACAAGAGCCCGTAAAGACTTTAGTGGAATTATGATATTTTGATGGATCGGATTATTATTTATATAATTTGAGAAATTTTATTGTGATTTTTCTATTAATTTTATTGAATTAACATATACTCCCTTTTTTTTATTTATAGAAGAAACTATCATTTTGGCCTATTTTTTTTATTTAAGTAAAATCACATTTTCTAATAAGTATTTATTGCAAACTTCCTAAATTATCTATCATAATTTTATCATTTATAGTCATAACAAATAATTAATAAAAGCTTAATTAATATAATTAATAAAGGGTATTGTAATCTAATTTTTTTATTCTCAAATATAATTAATATAATTAATTAATTTTTTTAAATTATATGAGATAATTTTTTTCTTACAAATAAAAACAGAGGGAGTATATATACATGAGTTGTGGATAATTTCATGCTGGTCTCCTTCTTCCTCCAAATATTCATTTCTCCTCTTCCTCTCTGTCTTGCTCTTCATCTTCCTCTTTGAATTTTTCTCTTCCTCATTTTCTATAATTTTTAATTTCGCTTCCTCTTCCTCTTTGAATTTTTCTCTTCCTCATTTTCTATAATTTTTAATTTCTCTTCCTCTTCCTTGTCTTCCTCCTTTTCTTATTCTTTCTTATCTCTATGTCCTGATTTGTTTGCTTCGTCATTATCATCTTTTTCTCCTTTTATAATGCCGTAATCTTTTTATTAATTTATATATTTTTTAAATTGGTCTCCATAGCTGTCAGTGCCATTGAATCAAATTCAAACACTATCGAGCAGCTTCTCAAAGCTTTATTTATTTATTTTTTTAATACTCAGCTCTGAGGTAACCGCACAATAACCAATGTATCATTGCCTCCAAAATACACTCCATATGTGTTATGTTTTCCGTTGCCAACAATTAAATGTTAATATTTTTTTTCGTTGAAATGTGCATATAATTCTTAAAGCAAAATTAACCGATTTCACGACTATTAAGAAGTATTGGAAAAGAATGACTAGTGAGGAAAAATGAAATACATACATACATACATACATACATACATACATACATATATATATTATAAAATTTAAAATAATTATATACATTGTATAAATAATACATCTCAAAACTGTTTTCTTCTTATTTTTAAATTATAAAATATTCAGTAATTTTATTAAATTATATTTGGTTAAAAGGAAAATTTATTCAAAAAAATTTCTACTAGATATAATTGGTATCTTCATGACGACATTATCACGTTAGGGAAAAAGGATTAACGAGTTAACGTGTTGGATATTAACAGAGAACTTCTAAAGAATATAATAATTCTCTATATTTATCTCCAAATTTATCAAACATGCAAATGAAAAAATTTTGTATATATCAGGTTAGATGAAAATAAAATCATGAACAGTATTAGATATATAAGCATTTTAATATCAAGAAAATATCTAGGTTATTTTGATATTTAAGCTATATAACCTTATATATATATATATATATATATATTTATTTATTTCTACTATTTCAAATAGTTTAAAGCAAGTTAATCAAAGAGATATAATAATCGGATGCTATCAACTAAATACATAGGAGAGTTTACAGTAGTAAATTTAAAATTACCATCTCAATATTCTACTCAAATAATAAGAAAAGGATAATTAGGTTATAGTGATGAAGGGAATTTATAAGTGGGGGAAATAAATGAATTTTATGGCATAATTTGATGCTAATTATAGGATAAAGTTATAACCAACTTCATGGTTCTTCGGAAATGGTAATTAATATCCTTAAACTTGTAAAAGATATTCAACTTCTAATTTTACCCTTCACAAAGAGGGACAATATTAATTAAAAAAAATTAACTACATTTTTGTCATATATTTAGAATCAAATGAGACTTTAAAACATTCCTTATAAGGAGCGAAGGAAGTACCCATGTAATATAACATGATGCGTTACAAGTTTCAATTTACTCAAAGCAAAATATGGTATTAAAACTCATAATAACTTTTGTTCAGGCTTGAGAGGAGGCCGGTGAAACAATATTGCCCTTTAGATTGGAGCTTGAATTTGAGTCAGTAGTGAAGAACACAACGTTCTTCTGGTCTTCAACAAACAATTCAAGGGACCTTGGAATTGGAGGTAAATCCAAATCCAATATCCCTTCAAGTATTTGAACAACTTGACCCATTGATGGCCTGTGACTTTCATCATCTTGAACACACCAGGCTGCTACTTTCACTATTCTAGCCACTTGTTCTCTGTCTGCATTTCCCTCCAGCCTTGGGTCTAAGAGGCTAAGCATATCACTTCCTTGGATTACTACATTTGTAGCCCAAGTGGGAAAGAACTTAACTCGGCCATCTTCAAATGGCTTAGTGTTTCTCTTACATGATACCAACTCAAAAAGCATCATTCCGTAACTGTAAACATCAGCTTTAGATGTGATAGCCACCCCGGATCCATTCTGGAGCAAGATAACCTCTTGTTCCTCTCATGGTTGTTAGAACCCTACTAAAATCACGTTCAACCAGCTTTGCGAGGCCAAAGTCTGCAACTTTTGGACAGAAATCAACATCTAGAAGAATGTTTTCTGGCTTGATGTCACAGTGTATGATACAATCTCTACACTCTTCATGGAGATAAGTTAATCCCTTAGCAATTCCTAAAGCAATTTGGTACCTCATTTTCCATCCCAAAATCTCATGGTTCTTCTCCTGGAATATATGAGAATCCAAAGAGCCGTTTGGCATGTAATCATACACCAGTAGTTTTCTGGCTCCTTTAGAACAGAATCCTCTAAGCCAAATAAGATTAACATGTTGGATGATCCCAATTGTTCTAACTTCAGTTCGGAACTGCTTCTCACCTTGGCTAATGCTTTCAAGCTTCTTCACTGCAATGACACTAGAATCTGGCAAAGTTCCTTTGAACACAGAACCAAAACCTCCTCCACCTAATTTCTCTGAGAAATTCTTTGTTGCACTTTGTAAATCTCTGTACCCAAATGCAGTCAATGAACCCTCCACATTGTCTCCCATTGGAATAAGTTTATTTCTTCTTCTCATCATCACAAATAGAAAACTGGCTAGGAGAACCCCAATACCACTCACCATGCCAACAAAAATTCCAGTAATCATTCTCTTAATGTTCATAGAATCAGAAAACTCAGAAGCTGCAAGCTTGAGATACAATATCCTTTCACAGCTATCAACTTGGGAATATTGTTGTAGACTTAAAAGATCGTAGTGCCAAATTGAACACTCCTTATTATCATGTGCATAAGCGACACAAGAGCAATTGATCAA